GATTTGGAAAACTGCTCCAAACAAAAGTCAAACCTGCATCAGACATGAAGCAAGTTTGTACTGCAAGTACTCGAGTTAAGATTCACAGTGTACTTACTATGTGTGAAGCCCATTTCCGATGTCCCCCGCGGTGATATTGCTGGCATTTTGCTGAAAGCGCCGTAAAACTAAACTCACTCACTCATTTTCCCCCAACAGCGTCTCTACTTGGAGGCCTAACACTAGACGGCACCTCACGGAAACTGTTCTACACTGATGAAGGCAGTAAAATCATCGGCCGGATGGACATGGACAGTCTGGAGTCTACAGTGATAGTATACACAGACATGGAACAACCACGGGGGATCGTAGCAGATACAGTATATAAGTATGTCATCTAGAATTCATCGCCACGTTTGAGAGTGAGTGAGTGACTAAGTGAGTGACTGAATGAGTATGGTTTTACGCCGCTTTTAGCAATATTCGAGCAATATCACGGCAGGGGACATCAAAATGGGCTTGACACATTGTACTCATGTGGGGAATCGAACCGGGTCTTCGGCGTGACGAACCAACGGTTTTACCACTAGGCTACACCACCGCTCTTTAGAATTAATAGCTTGATACAGTGGATTGTCTGATCAGGCGCGTGGCTTAACTGACTGCATTTCATCGTAGCCCAACTTCATGGATTGATGCTCATAATGTCAGTCACTGGTTTGTCTGATCCAGACTCGTGTCATCGTACCCCAGTAGCGTAGATTGGTGCTCATGATGTCAGTCACTGGTTTTAGATCCAGACTCGTGTCATCGTACCCAGTAGCGTAGATTGGTGTTCATAATGTCAGTCATTGGTTTGTCTGATCCAGACTCGTGTCATCGTACCCCAGTAGCGTAGATTGATGCTCATGGTGTCAGTCACTGGTTTGTCTGATCCAGACTCGTGTCATCGTACCCCAGTAGCGTAGATTGATGCTCATAATGTCAGTCACTGGTTTGTCTGATCCAGACTCGTGTCATCGTACCCCAGTAGAATAGATTGATGCACATAATGTCAGTCACTGGTTTGTCTGATCCAGACTCGTGTCATCGTACCCCAGTAGCGTAGATTAGTGCTCATGGTGTCAGTCACGGGTTTGTCTGTTCGAGACTCGTGTCATCGTACCTCAGTAGCGTAGATTGATGCTCATGATGTCAGTCACTGGTTTGTCTGATCCAGACTCGTGTCATCGTACCCCAGTAGCGTAGGTTGATGCTCATGATATAAATCACCGGTCCAGGGCTATTTATTAGACCATCGTCACATAGCTGCAATATCGCCCGAGGAAGTTAAACAAGAATCACGAAAAACGCATACAGTTAGCATTACAAAAATACGGTGTGTGGGAACCTGGTCATATTTAACAATGTCTGCTTATATACAGAAACATCTACTGGACGGACCTGGGCAAGGAGGAAAAGATCGAGACATGTGACTATAGCGGTGGAAGTCGGAAGTCAGTTGTAAAATCAGGACTCTCTGTACCCAGTGGAATAGCTCTGGATGAGAAAGGTAGGTACCACTAATGTAAACAAACCAAGCGCATAATAACGCAAAAAATCAAGTTCAGTTTTAAAACACTGAAAGTCCTCGTAGTTGTCAAGTGGCGTCCTTATGGGCTACATATAATTTTGTCCACACAAGGAACAATGAGAAATACACTCAACAAGCAGCTAAATATGATATAGACTCAAGTAGTTTTACAGTGGCCGCTTCCCCTTCCTTGTCCACGACTCTCGTGATATAGCGTCAGTCTAGTTAGTATGCGCGTCGTGAAGAAGCTCTGGTGGCACAGCGATGCGAGTATAAGGGTTGCATTCCAGGATCCGCTTGTCATGAGTTCGAATCCTAAACATCCATTATGTTACATCGACGGGGTCACACAAAATATCACTACAAAGGTTATTTGGTCGGTTGTTCAACGCCGCACTCAGCCCAATTCCTGTTATATGGCAGCCGTCTGAAAATAATCGAGTCTTTTCAAGACAAGCCAATGATCAACATCATGAGCATCGATCTACGCAATTGGGATACGATAACATGTCAACCAAGACAGCGAGTCTGACCACCCGATCCCGTTGGTCACCTATTACGACAAGCATGGGTTGGTCAATCACCTTAGTCTGCGCGTCGTGTAGGAGCTCTGGTGGCACAGTGATGCAAGGCATGCTAGATGTGTGGAGTTGTGTTCCAGGATCCGCTTGTCGTGGGTTCGAATCCAAAATGTCCAAGTTACCACTACAAAGTAGATCACTCTCCCAAATCTAATCCAATGTTAAGGCCAGTCAACATAATTGGATCAGCTGGTTCGAATCCCAAATTATACAACCATCCCCGTGCCCATTCTACAATCAATATCACCTTCGACTCCACCAAACATTGGGGCACGGGTAACCCAGTTTTTGTCAAACTGGCACGCCCTCATAAAACTTGAATACTGTTTAAAGCGGCGTTAAACTCACTCCAACACTTATATAGCTGACGTATCTTTTAATAAATACATACTGTTCAATTCTGATACAATCCCAACTTCTTACCTACTATTCACCACTTCTTATTCCAGTCAGGACAATATGTTTTCGTCACGATATGGCTGCAATATTGCCGATGTGACGTTAAATGATAACTCACTCACTCACTCACTCACTCCAGCCAGGACAGCCGGTAGGGTAGCTGAGTGGTTAAAGCATTCGCTCGTCTGACCGAAACCCAGGTTTTGATTTCCCAAAGTCTATTGTGTTAAAATCTATTTCTTGTGTTTCCTAGGCTGATAGTTCTGGACTCTGCTAATAGCAGCATCAAATCATACTCACTCACTTTCTCAAATCCGGAATAGCAACTCCCCAGCAACGTTAGCTTGTAGCACATGGCGACATCGTAAGTGACTCTGTCATCTGCCCGATAGTTGCTCATAATATCAACCACGAGACCTGCTCGGCCACACGATTATTTACTGGCTGCAACCACAAATGCTGGTGACATATAACAAACAACACTACATAGTTCTCCGTTACCACCGTATTTCTGTCATCAACAGCTGGTCGACTGTTCTGGTGTGGCAATGGTTTCATAGACTCGGTTCTACTGGATGGTTCTGGGAGGAGGAACGTCGTTACTAATACACCAATGTTAGACGTTACCGTATTCAATGGACTACTCTACTACACGGCACTACAAGACAAGTAAGAATACTCAGTAACAACGTCCTGTGTAGCAAGGCGTGGAGACATCCATGGATGACGTCCTTACCCTCTCTCCTTTAGGGTTATCTTCTCTGATCATGTGGACAAGGCGTCCGATCGCGGATCGGAAGGTCTGGGGTTTGAATCTCATAACGGGATCGGAAATTGTATGTCCGCTGCACCTAACTCGTCAATACCTCTCGGTCATATGTACGGGTGTGATGTCATCTGTGAATGCATAATTATCGCAGTCATCTGTGATTATTATTGCAGTAATTAAGATTTTACTTTTATGTTCAGCTTTTAACTTCTGATCATGTACAATAATGCCAAATGTCTCGAGCAAGGGGCACACTGGTAAATGCCTTGGAAACCCAAAATGTCTAACTTGGAATTGCATGTACTGAGATCCAGGTATATACTGATGCAGTTAGCATATTGATTAACAATCTACGGTCACGATAACAGACCTTACCTAATTTTGAACACTTTCTGAAATTTGAGGTCAGTGAGGTCAGTAGGATTTCTGATTTTACTGTTTATTAGTACACAAGAGGCTGAAATTTGTTTTTACTTCGATATTCTAGCATTACCTTCCTCAATGTCTTTAAACTGGTTATTCAAGGCTGGCATCTTTATGTATATCATTAATATGTGAACATTTCCAGGAGCATCCATGTCGTGTCAGAGAACGGACAACACATGGCCCCACTGACGTCACAGCTCTTTCACAAACCTATCGGTGTTCACGTCTTCTCGCCGAACAACAACAAGTCAGGTACACATATCAAGCTGCAATTGTAAACTCGGGTCTTCAAATTTAGCTCGGATGTAATATGTTATGCATTTGGTAAATTGTTAACTGTCAACTCTTCTAGCATGCCTGTGAGAGCCTTTTGTTTACAATGTTTTACAACGTTTACACCGATGTGATGTCAACTTAGATGTCAAGAAATCATATGGTAATTTAAATGCATAACAAAACAGGCTGTTTGACTGAGCGTTTTATAAAATACTTACAACATCTATCCATGACTTCAGCTAAGGACATAATACCATGTCATACCCAAATGTCAGGTGTATGCCAGTTAGATAACGATAAGAAGGACTTTTTTCGGCAGCGCACGCAATTGGATTCGAAAGCTAAATGTTCCTTCAGTTTCGATTATTTTTCTGATGACACACAAAGTAAAAATAATAACCCTTAACTGTTCAGTCAGTACAATTGATATTCTGAATGTACGATATTTCCATCACGTAAACACTCGGCTTATAGTATCTGTATGATTGATGTGGTGATGGAGTAGTCTTATGGGTAAACGTCCATTCGTCACGCTGAAGCCTATTACAGGTGTCACCCGCCGTCATGTTGTTGAAATATTGCTAAAAGCGGTGTAAAACTCCCTCCCTCCCTCCTCCTCCTCTCCCTCACTCACTCACTCACTCACTCACTCACTCACTCACTCACTCACTCTCACTCACTCACTCCACTCACTCACTCACTCACTCACTCACTCACTCACTCACTCACTCACTCCTCACTCACTCACTCACTCACTCACTCACTCCTCACTCACTCACTCACTCACCCTCCCTCCCTCCCTCCTCCTCACTCACTCCACTCACTCACTCCTCACTCACTCACTCACTCCCCTCCCCACTCACTCACTCCCTCTCCCCACCACCTCACTCACTCACTCCTCCTCACTCACTCCTCACTCACTCTCACTCACTCACTCACTCACTCACTCACTCACTCACTCACTCACTCACTCACTCAGTATGATTGATACTGCTGTATGTCTTTGTTAGTGACCTGTCCGAGTGGCCAGTATGGAACCAGGTGCGAGACGTGCGGTCACTGTGAGAATCGCTTCTGTGAGAAGACCACTGGTGTTTGTCTCAGAGGTTGTGCCCCAGGCTACAGGATGCCTAAGTGCCGAGAAGGTGAGAGGAAATACGGTTATATTCTTACACCCACGCTGACATGTAAGGAGTGGATGTGCTTTACCGCCGCCTCTAACGCTATGAGAGATACATTAGGGCGTGTCAGCTTGATTCTGCAGGCCCGAAAACCTGGAAACATAGGCCAATCTAACTTGAAGTGGCAATGGGAACATTGGAGTGATGAAACTAAGAAGAGGACAGAGCACCTTAAATGACATCGATATATTGTGTACAACCATCCCCGTGCCCATTCTGTTTATCCCTCGAAGATGAGAGTCATGCATTCTGCAACTGCACCATATTTACGGAAATAAGAAAGAACTAATTCCAAAGAATAACGATGGACATTACATATCTGTTTATTCACTATTCAATTTTCGAAACTCCGAAACCATTAAAAAATTAAGCTAAATATATTTTCCATGTGTTTAAACAACGAGGAGAACTGTAAACTCTAACTTACTGTTGAATTGCTCTGAATGTTAAATGAATATGTACAATGGGTGGTATGGTCTTTTATACGAATAGTGAGTGAGTGAGTTAATATTTAACGTCACATCAGCAATATCTCAGCCATATCGTGACAAAAACAATTTATACAATAAAAAATGAAAATATTTTGAAGATTAAAACCTGTCGACGATTGACAGTAAAAATACTAGATAATCACAGGTATAATATAAAACTAGCGAACAAAGCTTAAACATTCCAATTTAAGAAGACAATACAGTATAAAACACGGGCTATAGATCGCCAACAACTGAAGGTAGATCACGAAACTAGGAACCATGGGGACTTACATTACTTTTGCTACCTGCATGGACCCTAGTTGGATTTACACCATCCCTTCGGCCGCTGGCGATGGTAGGGAGGTTTAGCCGAAATTTAAAATCACAAAAATACTACGATTAAAAGGATGGTGGAGCAAAATTGACGATGAAAGTTTTAGGGACTTACGTACCCTCTCAGGCTTTTATACGAATAAGCATACTCAATACTAAATCGGAGATTCGAATCCTCTTTCACATAGGGGACGCAACTCTATATGAAGGCTTTCCATCTGTGGAAATATACTTTGAAAGGAAATCATTCCACACTTCAACGCTGTTTCATTATCGGAAACCGTGAATAAGTTTCATTGCAAGAATCATTGCTAATGTCAACGATGATCAGTTCCAAATTACTTCAATCCGGAACTAATATAGACACAGCAATTGTGTCGCGGATAGATGCTCCTCGTTAATAAATAAATTCTCCCAAGAGAAATAACAAAGGAACAATCTCCCAACAGGAACTGACACGCTTTCATACTATGACTACAAGTATTGAAACTTGATATCAAACTAACATTGTTGATATAAACAGAATTCATTCCCCGTTAAGGTGTCATACTCCCAGCTTAGATCAAGTGTTCCACATGTAAATCAATAGTTTTCAAATCGTTCCTTACAGGTTGTAACGCTGGCACATTTGGAGTGAAGTGTCAGTCAACGTGTTTCAATTGCAAAAGAGGAAGTACTTGCGATCACGTGACCGGACGATGTCCTACTGGATGCATACCCGGATGGAGGGGAGACAACTGCACTTTAGGTAAGATTATTATCAGCACATGATACGGAAGGATTGGGTGCTTTAAATATATGTTTTGAAGTTATTCTACAAAGATTTTATGCAAGACGATATTTGGTCCTTTCTGCCGAATCTGGAATCGCTGATGTTTAAAAATAAATTAATGAATATAACAAAGATCAAGTTAACCAGAACACGTCCAGTCGTCACTGACTTTGCTGACACTTCTGTTCTTTCAGTTCGTTTGTTTGTTGTTTACCGCTGCACTCAGCAATATTCCAGCTATATGGCGGCAGGCTGTAAATAATCGAGTCTAGACCAGACAATCAAGTGATCAACAGCATGAGCATCGATCTACGTAATTGGGATACGATGACATGTGTCAACCAAGTCAGTGAGTTTGACCACCCGATCCCGTTAGTCGCCTCTTACGACAATCATGGGTTGCTAAAGACCAATTCTATCCCAGATTTTCTCGGATCTCCGTTCTATCAGAGAGCGTGCAGCTACTAGATAACTGTCAAAACTGCTTTCCTTCCAAATCAAACTGACACTTTGTCCTTTAACTGGCAGACAAATCAACACCAACTTCACTCATGAATAGACACGAGCGGCTTGTCGTGTATTTTCGAGTTAACACAGATTGAATCCCAGACTAATTTCTAAAAGAATACATGAATGAATTCAGAAGGAGCATGATTAATCAGTTGTTATTGTATTCAAATCAAGAATCGAAACCAACTAAAATGTCAAGATCTTGTATTCCAGACAGTTTGCAATGTTATAAAAATACATGACAGTCAATGCAAATAGAATGTTGGAAAATATACTGATCAGCTTATAAACATAAAAAAACAAGCAAGAGAACTTCTAGGTAAGTCTTAAATGTGAAATGAAAACTTAAGTCAAAACAGTTTTCTACTATTTGATTATGATACTTTATTAACAACAAATTAACAACAAATTTAACCATTAAAGGTTCATGTTAAAATAAATTATCAATATTCTCTTATCGGTGGTGGAAGCCCTGAAATCATTTGCTGATCGTATACTCAAAGGCAAAAGAAACGCAATTTTTTAAGGAATTCAGTCTGAGATATTTAGTATGAAATGAAAATTGCGAATTCATTTCCTGGGCTTAAACGATTAATTTTGTGAATTGTTCCATTAATATTGCCTCGTTTAAGGTTACTAGTCACTTTTAAAACATATCGCTAAAACACACCATGGTACCGAGAATTCGAAGTTTCACGGTGAAATGAACATGCACGTGCATTTGCTGACTGAAATGGCTATAAATTGGTGCAGATTGTTGGTCTCTGTCACTATTCGATAGCTGATGCCAAGATTACATGCATGTCAAAGGGATCAAGCTATTGGACTGAATGCAGGCCAAAGCGCAGATGACGTTGCCCGTACTTTTAACGTCCATGTTACGACCATTTATCGCCTTAAACTTCGTTATGCAACCACGCAGACCACAGCTGACCGTCCAAGAAGTGGTAGGCCAAACGTAACCACGCCCAGACAAGACCGGTTCATCTGTCGTCGACATCAGGCAGATTCATTTCTCTGTGCCAGTAAACAACCCAAAGGACCACTGGAGCTCACCAACAACCATTAGTGGCCGTACCGTACGACGTCGACTGAAGGCCAACAACATGAAATGTCGCCGCCCAGCTCGTCGGCCGATACTGACCCCACGTCACCGTCAGGTACGTCTTCAGTGGGCAACACAGCATCTGAACTAACGTCACTGACAGTGGAACCGTGTGATCTTCTCAGACGAGAGTCGATTTTGTCTTTCCCATGCTGACGGACGTGTCAGGATATGGCGAAGACGAGGTCAACGTTATGCTGATCAAGTGTGTGATGGAAAGGAACGCTTGGCGCAGCCCGAGTGTAATGGTATGGGCAGGTATTGGCTACAACCTGAGACTAGGGCCAGTTGTGTTTCAGAATATTGATCCTGGCAGTGGGAATGGTGTGAATGCTCAGCGGTACATTGATCAGGCTCTCCAACCCCATGTTGTGCCATCTTTCGCCCGACATCAGAACCACATTTACCAGCATGATAATGCGAGACCGCAAAGGTAACACAACAACATCTGCAACATCACAACATTGCTGTTCTGCCCTGGCCATCCATAGTCCCGACTTAAACCCAATTGAACATTTGTGGGACAAAACTCAAAGACGACTGAACCAAGTTCGTCCAAGGCCAACAAATGCTGCTAAACCTTGAGCAGCAGGGCTACAGACAGTTACCAACATTCCACTGAACTTTACCAACAATTTGGTGCATTCCATGTACAGGCGTTCACTGGAGGTAAATGCAAATGGCGGTCATACACGGAACTGACTTTTGTGACCTTGTGACCTTGATGCCTGATCCAAGTCTCCGTGAATATTACAACACTATCCGCACCTTTGTCAACCAATCGATCTTTGCAACTGTTAACATGCATGCATGTATCAGTTCCATATTGTCTTCTGAAATTGTTATAAACTATTTATTGGACTGCACTTGGGTTTTTTTGCCTTTCAGTATATAAACGATATGATTTTCTCAAAAACAAGGCAAATTATATGATTTCCCTTATTTGATAAATAGCTTTCGACGGTTATATATGACCAGTTGATACAACGATAGTATATCATGATCTAACCGCTACAGAGTGTCCGAACAACACGTATGGTGCATGTACGCCGTGTGGCCTGTGTGCCGAGGATGATCCCTGTAATATCGGAACAGGTCACTGCCCACGGGGATGCAAGTTTGGATGGACAGGACCCACGTGTAAAACAGGTAAAGGTATCAAATACATAAATCTATAATTGAGCGAAGCGCGATGGGGTAGCCTAGTGGTTAAAGCGTTTACTCGTCACGCCAAAGACCCTGGTTCGATTTCCCACATGGGTACTCCATGTGAAGGCCATTTCTGGTGTTCCCCGCCGTGATATTTGCTGGAATATTGCTAAAAACGACGTAAACTAAACTCTTGGTAGATATTTTAGCGTAGATCAGGAAAGACATCACTGCAAACTTGACTCAAGTGATTATCGTCAAAGATTAGCGTGAAAAATTCACAGAACCCGCTCAGCCTAACTTCAGTTAAGATAGAATTTCTAAATTGTCGCTTGACCAAATGGCACAACAAAACCAATCGATCGGTGTTTAAAAACACGAATGAAAGAAATACAATGAAAATAGACGTAAGCGTCTCCGTGGAAGCCCCAACCTTCCAAACCATTTTAATCTCCAACGGGTTTGGTACCCTTTGCTGGACATCAGTCGGTCTTCAAGTACGCAAGTAAACTTGTTCTGTCCTTCAGATGCCTTCAATGAAATATGTTAATTGCATAAATGTTATTACACAAATTATAGTGTATTTGTGTTTCATGGGTGTAAGATTTAAAGATGAATGACATTTACAGGTTGGTTGATATTTGGCGCCGCTGGTGCAGTAATACTCGTCATCGTTGCCGTCGTCATCGGTGGCGCTGTATACAATGTCAGGTACGCCAACAACTCGAATTTGAATCTCATATGAAAATATATTTTATACCAAATTATAAAACCAAATACTCTGCAGGAAATACAGAGGAAATGGGAACAGGCTTGTCTTTCTCATGGTGGAATCATCGGAGTATGCACATTGGTAGTCTCTAAATATACAAAGAAATTGTTAAGAGGGTCAACATGTGCCTCATTACGTTATTTTGCTGTTGGATTACGAGTGAAATAAGTTCCGAGAGAGCCCTACTGCCACGTTTTGGGAGGGAGACATTCTCAACTTCCGGGCAGACCACAAACAATCCGCCATCTTTTTGATACACCACAACTTAAGCCAAGATTCTCAGTTAAAACTCGCCATTCTCTAAACGCAGAGATGCCAAAATTTGACATAAATAACTGAGAGTTATCTGCTTGAATATCCCACTATAAACTGTATTCTCAGAAATTATTGAGCTATATGTTATTATTAATAGTAACGTACGAGTCCTAGATTTAATTTAATCAAAGTAGGAGACATTTTCTCTCACTATTATTTGTTGTCTACCATATGTATATATTTTATGTCATTATTATCTGTGATTTGTAACCATGACGAGTAGTTACAACGAACGGACAAATTCTCATTGATTTCTGGCAGTACTGTAACTTGTTAACTGTACCTGTGTGACGACTTTGCTGCAACATCGTTAGTTTCATGGAGCCAGGTGAACGTGGTCCCTGTGTTTCTCCTCATCTGTTCAGCATTAGATATGTAAAGACTATTTATACTGTATTGTTATGCTATTTACTAATATGGTTTGTGTGGTAACTTTTCAGAAAACTCAAACGGAGATACCAAAACTCGTATGTGGAATTTGCTGAGAGATGCAACCGACTGTACGAATTGTAGTGATAAAGGATCGACCCGGAATAGAGGACAGACAGGATCGCGATGTAACATATCTAGATCGACCACAAGTAAAGGATCGACCCGGAGTAGGGGACACACAGGATCGCGATGCAACAGATCTACAGTCTGTTTGCAGTGAAAACGTACCGATGAATTTCACTTTAAACAAAAAAGTAAATCACATAAAGTGAAATTAAGATTGCGAATCCTCATGATTGTACCTTGCCAATTGAACTTTTAAACCTCAGAATTTTATTCAACTTAGGATAAAAGTTGTTTAACAAACGTTTATAGTTTCAAATCGCTATTATTGGTTTGTATTACAAGGGGGTACGCGCAGTAGTTGGAATAGTGAAACAAATGCGCGTGCGGTCCATCATGAGCGTTAACTTAGACTACCGTAGAAACCAACCCTTCTTGTTCTCGGTGTTTCATTTAATATGCATACCCCCTTGTAATACACACCAATAATAGCGATTTGAAACTATGATCGTTTGTTAAACAACTTTTACCCTAAGTTGAATAACATTCTGAGGTTTAAAAGTTCAATTGGCAAGGTAAAATCATGAGGATCTTAATTTCACTTTATGTGATTTACTTTTTTGTTAGACGGACCGCACGTGCTTTTGTTTCACTATTCCAACTACTGCGCGTACCCCCTTGTAATACAAATCAATAATAGCGATTTGAAACTATTGAATAAAATTCTCAGATTTTAATGTTCAATTGGCAAGGTAGATGTATGAGGATTCGCAATCTTAATTTCACATTATTTGATTTACTTTTTTGTTTAAAGTGAAATTCATCGGTACGTTTTCACTGCAAACAGACTATAGATCGACCACAAATAGAGGATCGACCCAGAGAGATGTCACGCAGTTTGGCGAAGACACCCCTCTGAATTAGACTTTTCAAAGTGAATCTTTACAGGTTATTAGGATTTTTGTTTCGGAAAATATACATCTATTAATAGCGACCATGCTAGTATAATCTTAAGGAGATATAGCTTGATTTCAACCAAGATATAGCTCTTGTGGAGGGCACAATATCAGTGTGTTCATCGAAGCATATATATTTTATCAAACATATCATGATAATATTTTGTTAATTTTTAAAACTTATATCAATTGACAACACTGATATTAATCGCAAATACCCTTGCAGTAATGTCAGCATCGTAAAGACAATTCTGTTGTGTGTGGTGTGTTGTGGCTTTCCCACCTTAGAAAGAATTAAACACTGCCCTCTCGAATGTATGTACATGTATTATATGTCTATCTGTAATTTAACTCTCACATTTTCGTTCAATGTTTACTTCCCATGCGCTTATTTTATGTGCATAAATATTTACTTCAACCAATGACACTGGTGAGCTTTACCTTCTTTACCGTAAACAACTGTATTATGAAGAGAGAACTACCTGGGCGTCAGTGAGAGAATATTGTACACATAACATTCATATGTGTGTGTGTGTGTGTGTGTGTGTGTTTGTTTGTGTGATGAGATTAAGATGTTAACCATACATTGATACCATGTCCTTCCACAAGAAAACATTACGACGTTCACATGTAAGTGCGCAAATGTTTGAACAAATTAAGGAAATGTGGTTATTACGCAATTCCGCCATGTTGTAACATGCATACGTCAATTACTATGCAGTGGTATTAGCTTAAAGAAATTTGATGCAGTATTCAAATGTACATATATTATAAACGACATGCCTCCTAAACTGTTATACATATTTCGATTCACATGCCATATATCTTGTGTATCGTCACAATGCAGTGTGTATCAAAGAGGAAAACAATTGCATGTTTGTTGACGTGGACAAGTTTCCACACACATTGGAACTGTACCCATCAGTCAGGGAATCGAATATTTTGCCGTAACGCGCGAGCACTTAAAACACGAAGCTATCCCATAGCCACTGCTTTGAATGACAGTCATGAACCTCCCTTCTGTCAGAGCTTTACAATGCCACATGAACTGGTGAACCAGTGAACTATCAGATATTATCGTAAGGACTGAGGCGAACCCAAAACATTTGTATTCATGACGGAAGCTACCCGTGCAGGTCCAAGTTAGAATGAGCCTTCAATAACCCATGCTTGTCGTAAGAGGCGACTAACGGGTCGGGTGGTCAGGCTTGCTGACTTGGTAGACACATCTCATCGGTTCCTAATTGCGCAGATCGATGCTCATGCTGTTGATCACTGGATTGTCTGGTCCAGACTCGATTGTTTACAGACCGCCGCCATATGGCTGGAATATTGCTGAGTGCGACGTAAAACTAAACTCACACACTCACCCATAACCTCATTCTACGAAGCTGCTGTAAAATCTTCTTAACATCGCGCAAGTGATGATCTCGAGTAGAAATGCGTAGGGCAATATCTGTAATTACGGTAACAGCCAAAGGCTGAGCAAGCAGGATGGTAAAATGATCAGTGGCAGCGGTGCAGTCTCTCCTACTGCTAGCATCACCGGCCCAATCCTTACTGTCAGCATCGCCGGTCCATTCTGTACTCCCAGCATCACCGGCCCAATCCTAACTCCAAGCATCACCGGTCCAATTCTTACTGCCAGTAACACCAGCCAACCCTTACTCTCGTCATCACCGGTCCAGTCCTTACTGCCAGTAACACCAGCCAACCCTTACTCTCGTCATCACCGGTCCAGTCCTTACTGCCAGTAACACCAGCCAACCCTTACTCTCGTCATCACCGGTCCAGTCCTTCCTGCCAGTAACACCAGCCAACCCTTACTCCCGTCATCACCGGTCCAGTCCTTACTGCCAGTAACACCAGCCAACCCTTACTCCCGTCATCACCGGTCCAGTCCTTACTGCCAGTAACACCAGCCAACCCTTACTCTCGTCATCACCGGTCCAGTCCTTCCTGCCAGTAACACCAGTCCAACCCTTACTCCCGTCATCACCGGTCCAGTCCTTACTGCCAGTAACACCAGCCAACCCTTACTCCTGTCATCACCGGTCCAGTCCTTCCTGCCAGTAACACCAGCCCAACCCTTACTCCCGTCATCACCGGTCCAGTCCTTACTGCCAGTAACACCAGCCAACCCTTACTCTCGTCATCACCGGTCCAGTCCTTACTGCCAGTAACACCAGCCAACCCTTACTCCCGTCATCACCGGTCCAGTCCTTACTGCCAGTAACACCAGCCAACCCTTACTCCCGTCATCACCGGTCCAGTCCTTACTGCCAGTAACACCAGCCAACCCTTACTCCCGTCATCACCGGTCCAGTCCTTCCTGCCAGTAACACCAGCCCAACCCTTACTCCCGTCATCACCGGTCCAGTCCTTACTGCCAGTAACACCAGCCAACCCTTACTCCCGTCAACACCGGTCCAGTCCTTACTGCCAGTAACACCAGCCAACCCTTACTGCCAGGATAACCGGTCCAGTCCTTACTGCCAGTAACATCAGCCCAACCCTTACTCCCGTCAACACCGGTCCAGTCCTTCCTGCCAGCATCACCAGCCAACCCTTACTGCCAGGATAACCGGTCCAGTCCTTACTGCCAGTAACACCAGCCAACCCTTACTCCCGTCAACACCGGTCCAGTCCTTACTGCCAGTAACACCAGCCAACCCTTACTGCCAGGATAACCGGTCCAGTCCTTACTGCCAGTAACATCAGCCCAACCCTTACTCCCGTCATCACCGGTCCAGTCCTTACTGCCAGTAACACCAGCCAACCCTTACTCCCGTCAACACCGGTCCAGTCCTTACTGCCAGTAACACCAGCCAACCCTTACTGCCAGGATAACCGGTCCAGTCCTTACTGCCAGTAACACCAGCCAACCCTTACTGCCAGGATAACCGGTCCAGTCCTTACTGCCAGTAACATCAGCCCAACCCTTACTCCCGTCATCACCGGTCCAGTCCTTACTGCCAGTAACACCAGCCCAACCCTTACTCCCGTCATCACCGGTCCAGTCCTTCCTGCCAGCATCACCAGCCAACCCTTACTGCCAGGATAACCGGTCCAGTCCTTACTGCCAGTAACATCAGCCCAACCCTTACTCCCGTCATCACCGGTCCAGTCCTTCCTGCCAGTAACACCAGCCAACCCTTACTGCCAGGATAACCGGTCCAGTCCTTACTGCCAGTAACATCAGCCCAACCCTTACTCCCGTCATCACCGGTCCAGTCCTTACTGCCAGTAACACCAGCCAACCCTTACTGCCAGGATAACCGGTCCAGTCCTTACTGCCAGTAACATCAGCCCAACCCTTACTCCCTGTCATCACCGGTCCAGTCCTTTGCCAGTAACATCAGCCCAACCCTTACTCCCGTCATCACCGGGTCCAGTCCTTCCTGCCAGTAACACCAGCCAACCCTTACTCCCGTCAACACCGGTCCAGTCCTTCCTGCCAGCATCACCAGCCAACCCTTACTGCCAGGATAACCGGTCCAGTCCTTACTGCCAGTAACACCAGCCCAACCCTTACTCCCGTCAACACCGGTCCAGTCCTTCCTGCCAGCATCACCAGCCAACCCTTACTGCCAGCATAACCGGTCCAGTCCTTACTGCCAGTAACATCAGCCCAACCCTTACTCCCGTCAACACCGGTCCAGTCCTTTTCCTGCCAGCATCACCAGCCAACCCTACTGCCAGTATACATCACTGGTCCAGTCCTTCCTGCCAGTAACACCAGCCCAACCCTTACTCCCGTCATCACCGGTCCAGTCCTTACTGCCAGTAACACCAGCCCAACCCTTACTCCCGTCATCACCGGTCCAGTCCTTCCTGCCAGTAACACCAGCCCAACCCTTACTCCCCGTCATCACCGGGTCCAGTCCTTACTGCCAGTAACACCAGCCCAACCCTTACTCCCGTCATCACTGGGTCCAGTCCTTACTGCCAGTAACACCAGCCCAACCCTTACTCCCGTCATCACCGGTCCAGTCCTTCCTGCCAGTAACACCAGCCCAACCCTTACTCCCGTCATCACCGGTCCAGTCCTTACTGCCAGTAACACCAGCCCAACCCTTACTCCTGTCATCACCGGTCCAGTCCTTACTGCCAGTAACACCAGCCCAACCCTTGCTCCTGTCATCACCGGTCCAGTCCTTC